CGGCTGTTTAATAGAGGTTCAGCCGGCAGACAATGTATGAGTGTGGCCCCGTGAACTCTCGGTCTGTCTGTCTGTCTGTCTGTTTGTTGTGTGTGTCCCCACCATCAGTTTGCTGTTGCTGAGTGTCTCTATGAGTGTTTTCTCGAAGGTGGGGACCGTCTCAAACTGACTGCAGACAGCATCCATCCATCCATCCACATCAACACACGTCTCTGTCCGTGCGTGTGTGTGCTGCTCGACGGTGCGTACGCCTGCAGGGTGGCGTAGGGGCTGAGTGCTCTCTCCACCATGGTGAACAGGCTTCGAAGCAACTCCTCCATCCACGAGCTCCAGATGACGACCAACTGACCGAGCCATCCATCCATCCATCCCGCAATGACAAACACATGGAGAGCGTCGTGTGTGTTCATGGCCAGTGTGATAACCCATGGCACACGTACGTACGTACCTATTGCTCCTTCTTGTGGAAATCTTGTTGCCCGGCGCCCCGATGGGGACACTGCCCTGCCCGCCGGTGCAGAACATGCTATCAATCAGATCACACAACACGTGCACAGGTACAGTACAGTAGACACACAACAAACAGCCGTGGATGTGGGTATGTGTGTGTACCCGTGTGGTGTGTGAATCAATGTGTGTCCCGGCCCCACCCCACCCACCGGTGCTTGAGCGAGATGCTCATGCCACAGTCGAGCAGCAGATCCACCTTCTCGGCCAACTGACGGATGGGAGACAGACAGGTATGTATGCAGTCGCACATATAGGTGTGGTCGCGTCCGCGTGTGAGGGTTCATCTGCATGTGTCTGTACCACGTAGGCCTTGACCACCTTCCAATAGCGATAGACACCCATCAGCACCTTCACCAACGGCGTGGCCAGCGCTGTGTGACATGGACACACACACACACACACACACACACAGAGAAGAGTTCTTGTCCGTGCACTCGTACTCTTTGCCCTTCCAAACGTAGTCCTCCTTGCCGCCCGTCACGTCCACGTCCCCCTCGAAGTTGTGCTGCTGAAACCACGATGAATGGACATCACACAGCCATGTCACATGGCGCAAGGCGAGCCGTCCATTCATCCATCCCATCCATCCCCTTCCTTGCACAGCGACGCGATCTCCCTCTGACCTCCTCCTTCTCCCTCCACTCCTCACCGCGGTGAACGTTGGCTGCTCGGCTTGACTGGACAGGCGGCCGTACTCATTGCCCTTCCACAAGTGGTTCAGACTGCCACACGCCGTGACGTCAATGTCCCCCTCCAAGCTGTGCTGCTGAAACCACGATGAATGGACACCACACAGCAATGTCACATGGTGCAAGGCGAACAGTCCATTCAGTCATCCCATCCATCCATCCATCCATCCCCTCTGCCTCTGACCTCCTCGTTCTCCCTCTCCTCGGACTGCTGTGACTCGATGTCGGAATACCTCAGCCCCTCCTCACCGCTGTTGCGACGCATGACCGACACGAACGCTGGCTGCTCGGCTCGACTCCACAGGCGGACGGACGGACAGTGGGCCTTATCGAAGGAAGAGCCTTCAGGCAGGCTCTCAGTGAATTCTGCTCGACACTAAAAAGACGACAGCCTATCATATCAACGCGTGTCCCTTCTCCGGTTTCGGCCGGCTGGCCAAAGGCGAAGGCTTATGTACCCCCCGTGTCGGGCTGCGGGCCGCCCGCAGGGACGGGCGGCGCTGCTCCCTCCCCCGGCCCAGCCGCGCGCTGCTGTTCGCGACTGGCTCCCCCTGTATGGCTGCTCAGGCGGTAGTAAGCAGCCTCTTCGCACTAGGCAAACTTTAACCGCTTTGAGTGAAGGGTCAAATCGGATGTATACACCAGGGGTCCATTCGACGATGTCGAGAATCTCGACGTGCAGGCCCCCATTTGGCAGTTGACCCACATAAAATTGCAGAGAAGCAGCCCACCCAGATGATCAAAAGCAAATGCGAACCGCCCATGTGAGAGCCTCTCACACACAAAGCAGCAGCTCCTCGCTCGGTCACGTTCTTTCACAATGGGAACCCTTCTAACAGCGCTCCGTTCTCGGCAACCAAAGCAGCTGTGACCACCGCGCTGAGCGCATTTGAACGCCCACTCAAAGGACTGTCAAGTCATTTCAAACATGATCAACTCACTCACTCTGGTTCGTGAGATATTCCTCACTCAATTCTGTCTGACCACTGTGTATCTGACCTACCGCTTTCTCTGCAGTGACTTGACAGACACGGACCGCGTCCGGCGCATCTGAACCGTCACTCGAAGGGCAATCAATCCATTGCCAACATCATCACCCCACTCACTCTGGTTGGCGAGATATTCTTCATCCAATTCTGTCTGACCAATACCGATATCTGCTCTGCTGCTTTCTCTGGTGTGACTTGACAGATAACTCGGGTTTGATATGGACAGGCGGGAAGAGGCTGAAGATCGGCGGCGTGATCTTGGATTTGCGCCACGTTTGGACGGAAGAGAACCGAGGTGTCCTCAGCCTGCAGGAAGGGCGAGAGGTTCTCCACCTGCAGCAGCTGCTGCAGCAGCAGCAGCAGCACCTGCGCCCGCTCCACCGCCTCCTGCATTGCAAGCGCTCGGCCATGCAATACTGCCACCAATCGTCCCTCCACCGCTGTTCCCCTCATACGCCCCTCCGCCACCAGTGATTCCCGAAAGCATACCGCCACCAGTGTCTCTTGTCCAACATTCAGCCCGACACAACCGACCAAATGCTTGATGCTCCGCCTCAGCCTCAGCCTTAGCCGGCCGCTGCCGCTGCTCCCGCTGCTGCTGTGCCAACTAGTCGGGGCAAACGGAGACATGAGTCCCCACAGGATGCAGAGACGGGTCTGGTGTTTCTTCATGTCATTCCAGTTCTGCTTGAGGACGACGGTATCAACCAAGGCAGAGCTGGAGGCTTTCCGCGAAGACGTCTGGCAGATGAAGATTGTGGGATTGACGATGTAGGCGAAGAGATGTGAACGGATAAATTTCAGTGTCTCTGTCCATGAACGTGCTTTTTCGCGATTGCAGGTTGAAATGGCTGGACATATACAAATCGTCCATGCATCTGCTGGAGTGCAACGTGTTGTTTCATCTCGCTGTCTCACTCGTCAAGGGAGACCCAGTATTGTCTGTTGGGATGTATGCAGGCCCATGAGTCGATGAATCGAGAGGCGCATGTAATAGAGGAGAATCACACGATGAAGGGAGGGGGTGACAACGTCAAGGCGTGCCGTTCTCAGCTATGACAGCAAAGTGAGACACGGATGATACCTGCGGACGAGTACGATAGACCGCTGCCTGACGTGCTTCTTATTACTGGCCCGTTTAAGGGACAGCAGTTCAGGGAGAACTGTGAGAAAGCTGTAGCAAACGTTAACGCGAATAGGTGTGCCAATCAAAGGCTCATCTGATTGGTCTAGTAGCGCGAATGATTGTCTG